ATTCTGAACAATAATTAGAGAAATTGGCAAGGAATTGAGTCGGTGAGCACCCAAGACTAAAAAGTGGATGAACATGAGGAAGGATTTGTTGTACTTCTGAAAGTTGATAGATTTGGATTCATAAAGCAGGAAGCTAACTCTTCTGATGGTTTAACAAGGAGTAGATCAGCCTTCGAGTATGAGAGGTACGCAAATTATAAAATGCATCCACATTCTAGAAGAGATTGTCCGGACTCTGTGCACGGAGGCACTAGTGTGCCTCCGTACTGGTGCCATGCCAGCGTGCCTCCGTGTACGAGAATGGAGGCACATCGTGCCTCCGTCCGCGTGCACGGAGGCACGCTGTGTACGGGCACCAGCGTGGGTGCCTCCATGCACACGGATGGAGACATGACGTGCCTCCGTCCACGTGCATGGAGGCACACCGTGCCTCCGTTCGCGTGTACGAAGGCACGCTGTGTACGGGCACCAGCTTGTGTGCCTCCGCGCATACGGACGGAGATACGACGTGCCTCCATCCACGTGTACGGAGGCACACCGTCGGCAGCGTGCCTCCGTGCATGCGGACGGAGGCTTCACTGACCGCCATTTCTCCACTAACCGCCCACTGTAATAGCCATTTCTCCACTGACCGCCCACTGTACTACACATCACAGATTCGACGAATATCTCGTCATTCCTCGCCAACGGCCATAATCACCGACAATTCTCTCTCTCTCTCTCTCTCTCATACTAACACTTCGGCGATCGCTTATTCACTAATCGGAAAAAATGGTGTCAAAGTCACTTGGTCCTCGAAGAGCCTATACAAATGGCTTCAATCCTCGAGTCATCCAAGCCTGTCAGTTTTCCCAAATTTTTCGCGCCTTAATTTTTTGTTTGATTTCTGTTTTTATAGCTTGTAAAATTTTATATGTTTATTTTATTCTTAAGTGGAAATGGAAATTTATCTGCAGAATTTCTTTCCTGCAATGATGAAGACAGTAGGGACGCTGGGGCCAAAATCTCGGTCCTTTGAAATTATTTCAGGATGCCTTAAGGCTGGAATGTCCGGTAATTCTGTTTATTTCCTACTTCTAGGATTAATAGTTATAAATGATGGAAAGCATTGATTTCGAGGACAAAATTGGTACAGAAGCTGTCATATGGCTTATAATTGGCATCTGCCAGATCCTAGAATTCTTGCATGGAACGCTTTATAATGTCACAAGCCAAAATAAAGTCAAAATTTTTAATGTAATCAAGAATT